CCTGCCCCAAAATCCTTTTCAAAGCATCTGCTAATAACTATAATCAGAGACAGGCCCTGTGACTTGACTCAGTACTAGCATTTCACTGTATTATGCAAGCCATTTACAAAAGCAGCACTTTTAAGGATAAAAGATGAAATCTTGGCTCTACTGAAACCAGCAAAGTAAGAATTTTAATTAAAATCTATTCTTACACATCTAAGTGTATTCCTTTTTTTATGAAGGAAAAAAAAAATATCTTTACAAGAACATGCTATTTTCAAATGCTAAAAAATTAGCTAAATGCACCCTGAAATAAGAAAAGAGAGAAAAAGGTTTCACTACAGTACCTGAATAGGCCGAGTGGTTTGTATGGTATCTTGCCATTTGCCATATATCCTGGCAACTAAGTCTTTTACCTGCAAATTCAGATTGAATAAGCTGTTTATGTTAAAAAAGCCAAAATCATACCTGCCCTGTCTCCCTCCACCACTCCAAACCCATAAAACCCCAGATAACCCAACACACAAGGTTTACTGGGAAGGAACAATTTTACAGCTGGCACAATGTGTCATCACCTCAATTCCAACCAGATCCCTGTGATGTGGGACTCTGAATTCAAAGCCACGTACTCCGCACAAACACATTACAGGCACATGATTCCCCACGTTAAGTGTTTGGAAGCAACATTCAAGCCTCCGGCCCCCAAGGACCCACCTCATCCTTGGGGTGAGTTAGGTTTGTTACACTAATCTGGTTGTACCTAGAGACAGTGCCTGCAACTGCAATCACAGAAGTCAACTATGCAGCACTATTAACTCCTTATACATCAAACTGTGGGTTTTCATAACCGGTCTCAAGCAGGTGTCTCATCCAAGCCATTCAAAACCAAGATTTCCTTCATATGCTGTGTTAAAACCCAGCATTTCCAGTAACTCTGGAAGTTACTGTACTTTCACACAAATGAAGTGACTGGGAAAAACAGAGTAAGATCTTCCCCTCTTGGTGCAAGGAGAATAGAAACAAAAGTGAAAGCGACCCAAGATACAAAAATCCAAGCAAGATTCATTAACTTGTTAAAACAGATCCACGGTTTACTAATCTGGCTAAATAAAAACCAAAAATCTTCTTGAGAGATAAGGATGCACACAACTGCAAATGTCTCATTCAAAGATGACGAAGCCAAGTCTTTTCAAAGTTGAGGTTGGTCACTTTATCACTGATCTGATTTGCCTTGCTATGACAGTATGCAAAGCATGAAAGTCACAAAATTAAGACTACCATCAGTAAGGCCCACACCACAAAGCAAATGAAAGAATTATCCAAGCTTGATGCTACATCACATACACTCTTAGCTTAAATACAAATTTTTTACTAACTCATTATTTTTAAAATAAAACAGAGACACATGCAAGATAGGTTAATTTTTTAGTTAGTTGTATCCTGCTGTGCATGTAAAGCCTCTGCTCTTAAAGGCAGAGTCAACTATCAGTGACTGCCAGGAAAAAAACCTGAGCAAATCTGTAGGTCTAGAAGTTGAGATGCCCAGCTAAAAGGAAGACAAGCTCACATTTTACATTTGTTAAGAGATGACTTGTTAGCAAAAAGAGTATTTTCAGTGCATTAAAATGGGCATATATTTATGTACACACAAAGACATAATGCAGAGAAACCAGAAAAAAACAAATCCATGAGGAACTCTTAGAGTTTCCAGAGTTCAGATGAAGGAACAATACACATGAAGAACACTAAAAAGCATCCCAAACAAGACAAAAAACCCAACTTGTGTGTCTTACCTTAGTGCGATAAAACAGCCGTGCATCTTCCCTAATATCACATTTTATGTGCCTGTCTAAGGCACCACAAAGCTTCAGTAAGTGTTGCTAAATAAAGACAAAAATGCACAGCTATTTAAATCCCCCACGTCAAAACTAAAAGCCTTCTTCAAATATTATTTCAATTTAAAAATTATATGCTTCAGTTTGAATTTTTTCTTGGAAATATGCAGTAAGGAAGAGGGAAAAGAAAGCAAGCAAGATTACAAGATCCTCTATCAGCTGCTCGTACACACCTGCTAAGCCAGAGCTTTAAAAAAAGTTCCAAACTATAGCAGAACTATACATAGCAAATTTTAAAGTTCCTACTAGCTGATTTGTCAATGCTTTCTGTCCCCAAAGGAGCAACACAGTGCCATTCAGATCTTTTATCAGCAAAAAAGTTCTGAAGTTACAATAGCTAAAAATAACCTTTTCAGTAGTGACAACTCAGGTAATTTTCTTTTGTAGGAATTGGCTGAGCAGGCAAAAATGTATCCAAGGTTTACGCACTACTCTTTTATTTCTCTCTAAATTTCTGATTACTTTAACAAAACAGTTTTGCAGCTTCATAATCTCTTGATAATGGGTCCCAAGATCTTTCACATTCTGTGAATGTCTTCATAAAACTCCTGTCTTCAGTCCCTCACTGAACAGCTGCAAAGAGCGGGAGACATGCTGGAAGTCTAGTTATAACACATTTGCTGGTGTCTCATGACTGTGACAATTTGAAAGAGGACCAGAAATGAAATAACAATAATGATATTATACAAAGCCTAGCCTGCACAATATTCAGCCACACTCCTCTTGCTACTTGATGGCTAACAGGTCAGTGAATAGACTCTTTCTTCGTTAAGAAATACAGAGACATTAATAATATATTAAAAAGATCAAGTTCTCCATGAAACGTCAGGAAGGCAGTTGTAAAAAAGAAGTCTCAGAAGATCATCACAATATAATTATTTTCTTTTTCAAATATGATTTTGTTTCAGATTACACTCTGTGATTACCTTTTTGCATTGAGGAGGAAACTCTCAAGACACTTAAGCCCCGTAATGTAACCAAGCATTACTGCTTTGCCTCTCTCAAACAGTTCACATGACCGATTTCTTAAGAGCCAAGAGTGATTCCACAGGGCAGGAGGTGGACACGAATACCTTGCAGCAAGCAACTCGCAGCAAATGATCACAGAAATCTGAAGAGGATTACTGGCAGGCTAAGCACAAGGTATTACTCAACAGATGTTCCCATCACACGGCGTAAGGGAACCACCACTACAGAGAACAGAAGAGACACAGCCCTACCTCTCACTTGCTGCATGGCTGCACTCTACCACAGAAAACTGTGATGCGTTTGAACATATTTTTCTGGATATTTTCATAGTGGTTTTCTTCTAGACTATAAAATTTGAACCCTACTTTTAAAGTTCATGGGATCACTGTACTACTTAGAATTTCTGTGTTGATTTTCAAAATGGGCATATATTTGTTACTTTCTAGTTACTTTCTCAGAAAGATTAACAAAATATTTGCCTGCCGTTCCATGGTGTTACGTTCTGAGTTAGTTCCATCTGCAGAAATGCGGAAGAGCTTTCTCTGCACCTACTGCAGAAAAAGAAATCTCATCTGCATTTACTTTGCCCCAGAACAAGTGTCTCTCCCAGTGCTATTATCCACCTGTGGTGATTTATTGCATGATAGCTATTACAAAAACAGTCAAAAAGTGCGTAACAAGTAGTATTTTAAAATCTAAAGATCTAGCCACTTAAGTTACTTACCCTTTGATTAGAATTCACAACATCGAAGAAACTAGCTTCACTGACTAGATGAAGGAGGATGTAGATTAGGTAGTATGTCTGGAGAGAGACCAACAGAGCTTTAGGAGTCAAAGCACAACCGTAACTCTTCAAATCTAGATATAGCACTATCTTTGCTTTCTGGAATGATTCCTCCAACAGCCAGATCAATGGACAAGTATGTCTACACATTTGCCTAAGCAACTAATGTGAAACAGTACATTCACATATCAGAAACGTTTTACAGCAGTATTATACTGTTTTATGTTATTACGTGACCTACAAAACTTCCTGTAGTTTTAATTACTGAAAATTAAATTCAGCAGTTGGCTTTACTTTCCCATCATCTACATCCAGGTCAAAATACTTGCAAGGAGATTTCATGACAGACTCAAATAACCAAACCAATATTCAATTTCTGGATGGGTGGAAATACTGAATCTTTTTAATACTTGTTTATGAGAAAATATTCACAAAATATTCCTAAATCTCTTTCTGAAGCCTGCAGGTGAAGGTCTGATTCAGCATCAGTTTCCACCGATTATATCAGGAGGGAGGATGGTCCTCTGATTACAGAAGACAAGATTAAAGACATCCCCATGTGACTTTGCTGTGCAGAAAATCTGATGATTTCAGCCTAATACAGCTTCCTTTGTCACATGCCACTTCTTTCTTTCCTTCATTACTATAATCAAAACTGAGCATGAATAATATCGTAACTTATAGAGATGAACAGCACAAAATAGTGCACGTACAGTTCCATGTGCAGAACCGTCCTCAGTTACAGAAATTAAAACAAAAATTCTCAAAATTGTAGAAGATACAAAATGAAGATAAAGTGACAAATGCAAAAATGCACTCTGTACCTCCTGCTCGAGTTCTGCATAAAGGTGGTCTTCCTCAGTGTTCTGCTGCTCCCGTTCTCTCATCCTCTTTAGGAGATTAGAAGGTTTCATGTACACCAGATACTGATGCAGAAGAGACATCTACAAATACAAACATTAACAAATTGGACTGGTTTACTGGCAGTGGAATATTTAAACCTGAGTGCCACTACAATATTATTTGTCCACTAACGCAAGAACATTATAGAGATTTTTAACTAAAATAAAGGTTTTCATGCGCTAGGTAATTTTTGACTTTTCACAAACTAAAGTGTTTTTACACTGCCTCATTAGAAGATCAACCTTATAAAATATACCTTACATAAAGACTGAAAGAAGCGTAGACCTTTCCAATGTCCAAAATGAACGCTAAGACACATAAACAATACTGCACTCAAAAGCTGCAGAACATGCAGATTACACACATCTTGAAAAATATGCTTCTAATACTAATAACTATTGGGTTGGCCAAAAAGTAATTGCATTTTTTTTTCTGGGTAAATGAAAGGCAACTTTTTAACGGGAAACAAAAACTGTATTAAACAATGTATTGTCCATTTTCTTCAATTACATTTTGCCATCTTTCAGGCAACTTCATGATATGATGCTCAAAAAAGTTATTATCTTTTTCAGCAAAAAACAGTTCCAAGAACAATTTGATATCCTTACCAGCAGTGAAGGTTTTACCATTCAAAGCGTTTTGTAAAAGACAAAACAAATGGTAGTCTGACGGTGCCAGGTCTGGTGAATATGGCGGATGTGGTAACACATCCCATTCAAGCTGCAATCATTTTTGACGAGGGACCAAACTTGCAAGTGGTCTAGAGTTATCATGGAGAAGCATAGCACCTTTGTGATTCACCAATGCTGGACGCTTCTGTTTGATGGCATTGTCTAATTTATCCAGCTGACGACAGTACACATCCAAATTAATGGTTTGTTTCCTTGGAAGCAATTCAAAATACACAATACCTTTGAAATCCCACCAGACTGACAGCATGACCTTCCTTTGGTGAATGTCTGCTTTCAAAGTGCTTTGAGCTGGTTCATCATGCCCGCTTCATTAACTTTTTCATTAGTCATTGCTGTAGATGATCCATTTTTCATTGCCTGTTATTACACGTTTCAAAAATGGGTCGTTTTCTTCATGTTTCAAGAGAGAATCGCTGATGTCAATGTGCTTAGTGAGATGAATTTCTTTGAGCTCATGTGGTACCCAAATATTGAGCTTCCTAACGTATTCAAGTTGTTTTAAATGGTTTTCGACATTCAATTTTTATATGTTAAGATTATCAGCTCTCTCTTGTGTCGTTAAACACCGACTGGAGCTGATCAATGCCCTTATTTTGTTGTTATCAACTTCAATTGGCCTTCCCAACCATGGTGCATTTTTATCATCAAAATCTCCAGACCAAAATTTAGCAAATCAATTCTGACACTGCCATAGTTTTAAGGCATCTTCACCATACACATCACATAACTTTTTATGAGCTTGCACAGCATTTTTTCCTTTTCAGAAGTAATAAAGCAAAATATGAAGAACATATTCCTTTTGATTTTCCATTTTGAAATCAACGCCAAATAAATAATTGTTAATGAAATCATGCACTTTATTTTCCTTAAAAAACCTTGAACTGTCAGCTGTCAAGTTACATAATGAATTTGTTGTTTCAAATGAAATTAGTTACATTTCAAGACATGTATGTCAATCTATTAAAAAATGCAATTACTTTTGGACAACCCAATAAGAGTTACTAATTAGTCATTTCGCAAGGTTCTTGAAAATAGGATTACAATATGAAAGCATAAAACACATACAACACCCAAAAATAATATACATGTTTTCTGTACTTTCAGTTATATACACACAGCACACATATGCAGTACCTGCTTGTCACTGTCGTTGGGTATTCCTGTATACTTTTTATTAAGCAGCTTTGAAATTATCACTAGGCTGAGACGTCTTTTTACTTCCCTGAAAAAAAAATTTTAAAAATTTATGTCCCAGAGAATTTCTTAAATCCACACTGGTTCTGCAAAGTATATGAGGCTATGATGCATGACTTCCTGAGACAAAGTTGCCTGCAACTACTGGATTTTCCAAATATAGATGCTATTAAACTAATAAAGAGGCTAGTAAAATATAAGTACCTTTATCTCCTTGCAGCTTTTCTTCTGCATAAGTAAACACTGCTAGATGTTTGTATTCAAGCCCAAACATGAGGACCCAATTAGTTTTCCTCATTCAGATACATTATAATTAATTCATTTCAAAGACAGAGAACTTATAACAGATTGACACTTAAAAGCAGACGTGAATCACCCAAAGAAAATGTAACTTTTGGTCATTTGCACAAGAATTAGAGTAGGCAACAGATGTCAGAATCTGAATTTAAGCCTTTCTTTACTATAGGGTACCAGGAAGTTTGCAGCCCAGAAAACTACACATAAAATTTAAACTAAACTTTCTTTTTTCTTTAGCAGAGATGAGCTATATATATCCAACAAGAACTGCACATACATCTACAATGTATGAGAAAACTCAAATACATTTTTTTAAAGCATCATGTAATACCTATTGCACTTATCAGACTTTGAGCTTATAAAAATAAATCAGCTGTTAATGATACACATCAATTAGCTGTTAATGATATTACACATTTCTGATATTACAGTCTCATTACCGTCCACGTATTATCCAGCTAGGGACCAGCTGAACCAGCCACAGGAGATTATGGTGATGACTGGAGAGTTCACTCACTGCCAGGCAGAGCTCAGGCATCTTTAAAAGAGCAACAGAAAAAAATCCTGAAAATTACTGAAGAACGGATATGGTGGGCATTTTTCTTATTTGCAAAGGAGGACACATCTACTCCCTAGAAATATACACAACATAAATGTTAAAGGGAATTGGGCTAGGAAGTGATGATGTGCAGAAAGATATTTCTCATTGCACCTGTACTTAAGTCTGCTAAATACTATTTTACAGTCACGTAGTTGAGATAAGATTGCTTTTTAGGACATTTTCATCAGCTTAGTGCAATCATTTCTTCCTTCTCTCAGAGTCCCATTTTAAACATACAGCTATTTTAGTAAATGTAAGATTAAATTCAATGCAACAGTCCCCTTGCAGAAGGGGACACGAAAGCATAACGTGACAAAAACCCTCTCAGTATACCCACCCAGCTCCAAAATCTCACACAAATCCAAAGCTGCCAGTTTGTTGACATTACATTATCAAGCATTATTTTTCTGATATGTCAAGGAAAAAACTGAAAACTTCAAAACTGAGCTTTCTTAAAATTAAATTGCAGTTTCATAAATGTAGTACTAGAAAATTATTTATTAAATTACCTTTGTATCCCAGTCTTTTATACTTATCAGAAGCTTTATGAAAAGGCACTGAAAATCTATCAAAGGAATTTGCTTTAACTGTTTCTCCAAGCTTATTTTAAACAGCAATAGAAGCAGCAGCAATATTTCTTCATCAGTATATCCACCTTGAATTACTGTTGTACAGAAACCTAGAAACTTTAAAAGAAAAAAAAATAGGAAAATCTGAAATTGGTCTAGCTTATTGTAAAGTACGGTAAGAACTTCAGTTTTCTACCCCCACATTAAAATGCACCTCAAGTGGTATCTTGTTCTTGCAACGCTTGTGTACTGACATCTCCCCATCTCCCAGTAACTGCACTTCGTTTTTTTAATATATATTTCCTGGAGGCTTATCTTTTGAACAATGGCAATATTTCCTGGACATTACAGGAGTAGGAAATATCAAGCAGACACAAGCTGAATGTGAAGCTGAAAGCCCAGGATAGCATCTACTCACAGAACATGTCCCAGAGTAGATTAGAACACCAAGTTTTTTGCTAAAAAGGAGAACAAAGCAACAACAACCCGCCCTTCTCTCCCCACTCCACATCAAAAAAAAAAAAAACAACCACAAAATCCCCTGCCATACTAACTGAAGTTCTCACCTTAATCACATTAATTAAATTGCTTTCTGGTAGACTGGAAAAGGCTGGACTGGCAGAAGTGAGGTCTCCTGGCTGTTGTTTACTCAGTGTTTCTTGCATCTGACTTCTAATAAAAGAAGGATTAATCTGAGCAATAAATCAACAATTTAAAAGCCCACAAAGGCTTATTAGAGTCAAACTGAAGAAAAAAAGAAAAAAAAAAAATGAACCAAACCCAAACCAAAACACCCTGCATGCTTCAAAATGCCCTCAAATTAAAACAATCCTCAGTTACAGAGCACACACATCTATCTTAACTTGTAAAAAAAAAAAACAAAAACCTTACAATTCTGCCCAGCTATTTAGGCAACAATTCTAGAAAATCTCCATTAGGAAGGTGCAGGACAAAGGACAATGCTCTGGTTTGCTGAATCCTTACCTGGCAGCCATTGCTTAAAGTTCTGGCTTATTTATTCGTATTAAGACCTGAGCTAAGAACTTAAAGAAGAGTATGTCTTGACGGAAGGGAGAGGAAAGAAAGGAACAATATCGACATTCTGAGCGCAAGACTTGCTTTCACAGAATCTAAGCAATAAATATCAAAAGGACAACACTTACAAAATATCATGCTCGTTAAAGTTGGGCTGAAGATGTTGCAATGGAAAGAGAGATCTAAACGCAACACCCATATTGACAAAAACAGCTGACACATCAGCTAGCGAAGGAATCCATGGTTTAGACTGTTCGTCACTGATGGAAGCTACAAGTAAAAGACATGGAATGGATTAGTTTTAAATTTAGTTCTAAGCATTAAGTCCTTTTAAGGGAAACAAATATGCTCAGCAGTCTGCATCAATTCTAACAGTTCCCATCTCAGAAGAGCTGGTGCATTCAACAGTATGTTTGTTTTTATGTAGTCTAACACATTATTTTACACTAGAGAAACATCTTGCCTACGTAACAGGTGAATTACTTTAAAGTTCCATCTTTTTTGTCTTCACAACTCTCATCACAAACAGCAGAAAAAGCAAGGAGGCAATATTTAATTTTAAAAGAATACATAAGTGACTGTTCTGAGTAGGTACAGATAAAAGAGTATTATCGTAGCAGGATGGGAAGTGGAGCTACATAAGGTCTAAAAACAGGCAAGGCCTTTAGAACAGAAGTGCTAAAGAGATGGAGTTACTTTATCTGATAGAAATAAGAAACAATGCTTATTGCAAAAAGGGCTGATTTGTATGATTCCATCTATCTGAAAGTCTGTAAAGTCTACAGAGGATTATCCATAGGACACTGAACTAGCAAGGTAACACCAAACTAGATGCAGCATTTTCCAGACAACGACAGAAGTCACTAAAATTCTGAACTGAGTTGATTTTGTGTCTTAGAGCTAAGTTTGTAAGAAAAAAACCAAAATATAAGGGGACACTACACTCAAGACACAGGTTCAGACCTCAGTGTTCAATTCAGTTTAAAAAAACCAACCAACCAACCAACCAAACCAAAACCAAGAAACCCCACAACAAAAAAGATGCACTGGAAAAGAAGGTCTCAGAATGGTTTAAAGATTCCACAGTTGGCAATTTTAAACTGGTTGGACAACTTTCCAGGAGCAACTGTAGCGTATTTGATCCAGCTCCGAGGTCAGAGATTGCTGGGATCTCTCCCAGCCTTACTTCTTTGAATGCTCACTCATCAGTTTGAGCTGCTCATTCAGAATCAAGCTTAACGCCAGCAAAGCACAAATTAAAGGATGCTACATTCCTTCTCGTATCAGCTCACAGTCCTATTTCAAACAAGAGAGATTGTGCAGATTCTTTTCACTTCTGCCATTTATCTGGAAAGTAAATGATGCAGGGCTACACAGTGGGTATGACTGTGAAACACATTTTGTAGTCCTTAAGCTATGAAATGAATGCCTGCATCTTCCAAAGTAAAAGATGGAAAGGATAGTAAACTTTTGAGCAGACTGGGCTCTTCTTCAGGTCAATTCAATTGGTGACACAACAGAAGTGAATTTAAAAGGCTCTCTATCAGATGCACTGCTTTGCAAATACATGCCAGGACCACATCCTATGGTACAGCTTGCACCACATCCTGTGGTACAGCTTGCACACACTCAGTGCTAAGACCAACTTCTAGCATTTGTCCATTACATAAGTAACAAAGAACCTAAATTCATGCCATAATCACAGAAGAGAGCCAGTGCCTTTTATTTCCCCCCTAACACGTTTCTATACTTAAAGAAAGGAAATGCCTTCATTCAGATGGTCAGTTTTCCATTCTTCAAATACAAACCGGTTTTTAGGGTTATCTCCATCAATCTGTCTAAAATCTGGGCAGAAACACAACAGTCAGGATGAACAGACATCATCTGTGGAGAGAAAAGAAACTACAAGTCAAACACAGAGTTGCATGATGGCATCAGCTTCCTTTTAATTAAAAAAACTTACCAACTCTTTAGTAAAATAAAGAAAGAAACAGTAACAGAAAAACAAAACAAAACAAAAAACCACCTGACAAAGCTTCTAAAGCAAAATAAACAAAGAATAATGGAATATTGTGGATACGGATTATTTCAAGCAGTGCACAGATGCTATGAATGCTTCAAAGTTAACTATTTGCAATATCAGAATGCTGAAACCCACGTTGAATCTGTTGGTTTGTAAGAAGGTACTGAGTGTTAAAAGAATGGAAAGTATCACGTGTCTCTTGGGAACCTATTTGCATCTGTGATCAAACTGAACTCCCTGATCAGAAGCACGGGGCAACAGAGTTAACTACAAGCTTTTCCAGTCACAGGCAAGTTGAACATAGGCAATACCACACTGAAATAGCGTCTTAGTTTTTCATAGAGCTCTGAACTACAAAAATATGACTATGAAGCACAGTTCAGGCTTCCTGGAACACTTCACTAGCCCAGAAAAAACACACTTCTTCTCCCACAAGTGCTGGCCAGTTTCCTGCTCTGTGAGTCACCTGAATTGGCTCACACTTCCTCCTTACGAGAGGTACACCAGGGCTTGCAGAAGGGGCGAGAGGCAGGTTTTTACTGGCTGGAAGGAAGGATACGGAGGAGCAAAAAACGTTTCCTTTTCGGCAAAAGCAGAAAGGCAGTCAACAGATGCAGGCTGCAATTTCACACAGTCCAGCTCGCTATTTTGTTTCAGGCACAGTTAGAATGTGGTAAACAGAATGGAGATTGCAGAGGGGCATTTTTGTAATGGAACAAAGTAAATTCCGTGAGATTTTAACACGAACACAGATATCTAGAAAGCAGCCAGCCACCACACTTCCTTTGAGAATGGCTCCAGACTTTTTCCTGAGCCATAAATGCAAGCCAATCTTTTCCACATGAAAATTAACTGATAATGGAGATTACATCTCTGGTGATTTACAAGGTGATATATGCAGAAATGGTACTTTTGCATACTGCAACATTCAGAGTTTTTCTGGTTTGGTTTTTTGTTTTTGGAGGGGGGGGAGGGTTGTGTTGTGTTTTGTTTGGTTTGGTTTTTGGGTTGTTGTTGTTATAGTTGTTATTGGTTGTTTTGGTGGTTTTTTTTTTAAGAGTGTAAGGAATTAAGATTAACATTTGCTTGTGACTTGGCCCACACTTATATTCTGAAATTTCTTCTCACCTAGCATGTACCATGCTCTTTTCAAATGCACTAATGTGTATGAAGATGGACAGGGACATGCAGCTTTGCAGTCACTTGGAAAGTCTGGAGAAAAAGCTGTCCCTAATGTTTTACCCCTAGTGATAATCAAAGCATTTCAGACTGCAGAACAAATCAAAACTCAAGAAGAAAATATTTTTTTATTTAGAAGTCGTTAACTTAATGCAACAGACACACAAACTCGTTCCGATCCTTCCTGTTTCAACTGACTTCCAGGAAGAGGTACTATACTTGGACAGAGTATGACTGAATGAACAGTACCTTCTTACCTGGAAAAGCCACTTCAGAACCGGTATGGGACACAAGATACAACCATAAGCAGAACTTAGGAAACCATTAACAGCTAAAGAAAGCTGCTGCGTTACACCAGAACTGTAAGACAAAAATGAGGGTGGGGAAAGAGGAGAAAAAAAAAATTAATCAGTGGCTGAATCAGCACTTTCAGAAAGGCAGAAGAACTTCCCCACCTCTCAGATCATCATCAACAGCAAAGATCCGAACATCCAAAACATGTTATTCTTCTGCTCTTACCTATATGAAATACTCTAGTAATTAAACCTTATTTATTATTTAGAACAACTACCTTCTTCTCCAGAAAGCCACACTATATAATTTGGAAACATTTGTAGTTGAGAATAATAGCTGCAAACAAACATTGATTTACACTATTGTATTTTGAATCATGTATTACATAACATTATTATGCACTATGTCGTATTGCATATATGAATCATGATGCCTGATCATCTGCTATGCTCAGTGAGAACAGTGGATAAGATGTTTTGACTGTCCAATGATCTTTACCAACACTTTTAGAAAAGAAAAAAAAACTTCATTTGAAAGTTTTAAAATAATCTTTTAAATAAAGACTGTGGAGGCAATTAAACAGTCTAATCTCACTGCGCAAATTTGTGAGGTGCAAAAAGCAGCTGTTGGAAGAACAGAAACTACGTAATTTTTATTACTGAATGATTTTAGCTTTAGTCTTCTAGAAAGTCAGGTATGTCATAAGCAGTTGATACCCATTTCCCCACATACTGAGAATACAGGTGTCTGAACTTCTCCCTGTGCTCTCTACTTGCCTAAATGGCTAGGAAGACATCCATATGCCAAGTGGACAGTCAGTACAAGCCAGCTGTGCCAACTGTGCAGAATGCATACACAATTAAATCATAATTGCCTTCTACAAGGCATGATTTGTTTAATTCTTATTCCTCCAGTCACTGATTTACAAGATAATTTTGAAGCTTACATCCTTGTGATCTTCAATACATATGAAGCCAAAGGAGTGTATCACAAACATCACCTCCTCAAGAGATGAGGACGAGCCACCCTCCTCCTCTTCACACCCACAATAGCACATACACGCACATGTCAACTGAAATAACCACACTTTTTTCAGGATTTGCACTTGCGGTATTAGGCAAAAATAAGTCCAGCTATTTGCAGCCTGACATCCTCATAAATACAGAATACAAATCCATATGAGCTACAGAACAGCTGTAGATATACATAGGGACATACTGTTAGCTCAGTGACTGAACCTAACAGATGTCAGAAATCTTGACTTTCTGCAATCTTCATTAAGTGGAGCCCCAAGTCCCAGGCCCATTCGGGACAAAAAACACATAAAAGTTTTTCTGCAGACATTAAGCAACATGAGTAGGTCACGAATCAGTTCACCACAAAGGTCCTCTTTCTGTCTTGGGACAGTCAAAACTTCTGTTCATTGTAACATTTCACTTCTGCATTTATCTTCCACAAATGGGTCACATTGTCAATGACAGCTAACACAGCAGAAATATGAAAGAGGCCAGAGCACTTTTCCCCCTCACCCCTCATGTCTCGTTTAAGATGTTTTTTCAAGAATTCCACAGGAGGAAAGAAGGAAGCTTCAAGTAACAATTCACTGTTCTGTAAAGCTAACCTGGAAAGGAGAATTCCAGGGAAAGGGAGTCAGTCTTGCCTACTTAGTAACACAGAGCTCATCTGCATGCAAAGATACTAGTTTATACTGAGAACTGCTAACACTGAGGAAAATCATAAAAGTAAACACAGTGGAGTGAAGAGGATATTCTTACCTAAGAAGGAGCTTTTCTGTAAGATTTTCAGAACTGAAATGAAAATTCCTCAAGTCAAGGTTATGTTGATTGAAAATTTTCCCAGAAGTTGATAAATCAAATATATCTTCTCCAGGGTGGTAGTCAGGTATGGCATAAGCTACTACTGAAAATCTCTTTAAAAATGCCCTGTAAAATTCAAAATTGCTTTTACGAATTTAAACACTGAGAGTTTATTTTCTGGTTGAGACAGTTATTTTCAGATGATGAACAGATCAGCCTTATGTGAAAGCTGAACTGTTAAAATATAGTAGTGTTCAAGAAAACCCACCCAACCCAAAAGACAATAAAAACGGTTCACATTAAACATATTAACAACAACTGATGGAAAGAGAGAGAGATTACAAAAAAGGCTGGAAAAGTGAAGAACTAGATTTAATTGGGTTTGGAGTTGGAAGGACCTGTGCTCTTCTGAGAGGTCTTCATCTCCACTGGCATTCTCCTCATCATCTCTATCTGAAGAATCAGTTTCCCTTCGTTGTATGTGTTCCTCTAACAGCTTTTCTAGTTCATCTACCCTGAAATAACAACAGCAGCAGAACACATCATTACCATTCAGTATTTACAACAGAACATCACAAAATTTAAGGTCTGAATGTGAACCCAGGAGTCAGTAGCAAATTACGCATGGCAAAAGCATGAGACATCACATCTATGCAAAAAACCAAGCATCCTGGTATTCCAAGACACAAAGTGGATGGTTCCCGAAGTCTACCGCATTTCCAACAGTACAATCAATCACTAGTTTGTCAGAGACAAATACACTCAACCAACTTCTGATAGATTTTTTTGTAATTGTACAAAACTTTCAATCTTATGGATGATTTTTCTTAAATATTTTTTTTAAACATCATACTAGTATTTTATTTGTTAAATAGCATTAGTTATAGGAATATGCGCTACTCCACAGTCAGACAGCCCACAGTTACTAGGGTCAGGTTCTATAACAAAAACAGTTAATCACACATAGATACCCACCACCACCACTTGCCATTAGCACATGCACCACATTACACTTTCTACACAAAAGATCTCTTGCAAGAACACTCATTAGTTCTGTTCACTGATTTATGCAACTACTCAGATAACAACAGTCTACGCAACTTTGGAAACCAAACTAAACCAAGCCTTTAAAGAAACTAATACAGCCAGTCTACAGAAATACTCCTACTTCACGCCTGATCAGCTCCTGGTAGCTGGCTTTGACCTACAATGAAAGCATCAGTAAATTTAGTCTGGCTCTCAAGGAGTAGACAGATGTATCACAAATCACTTGTCATTGCCTGGAAGGAGTGTGTCATTCAGCTTTTACAGTTGAGTCACACTCGTAGGTCCTGTCCGATGTATGTTCGTGGCATCAGCAGGCAAAGCTTAGCTTGCTGCTACCCAAGCTTCATCATTTTCGGGGACAAAAGGTAAATTGAAGCGTCTACAACTCCGTCCCAAAGTTTTCAAAGTAGCTTTAAGAAACAAACCTTTTAGATTCTTCTTTCTCCTTCAAGAGATGTTCTAAGCTGTTCACATATGACACCTGGCTAACAACAGGAGGCTTAGAAAGCTGTAAATGAAATAGTAAGAATTTTTTTTTAAATACAAGCTAGCAATTCATTCAGTTAGACAGTAAACACAACTGAAATAGAAACCTCTTCCAATTTTAATATTTTATCTGACGATAAAAACTCAAGAGACCCTGAAAAACAGGATGATTAACAGTTTAGGTTTTTCATTCCCATGATAATTTTATATAATGGTCAAATCTCTCTCAGTGATTAATTTAGAAACAGCAAAGCAAGTCTCTGCTGCTCTCCCTGAGGCTGACCTCCAGCTAACCTTCACAAAGAGCATTAGCATCAGCCTTTTACCTCCCAGCTTTATCATCATCATCCACCGAGACCCTGGGAATTCCCATTCTTGCGCATGAGACAAGAAACTACAAAACAGATTCAGTATCTCTTTGTCACTTTCAGGAGTGCCCAGAGGACAAAGCACCAGTATTAGCCATAACACCTCAAAAATCATCAAAACAAAGCTTCCAATGAAAATCCTAATAAAAACTCAAACTAAGAAGCTAATGAATAGAATTAAAAACTAAAACAGTGCACAAAGAAAGTCTTAGCAGCTAGCAAAACTAGTTTGCTTTTCAGTAGCCAGTGTTGTGTTCAGCTAGTAGCAGACAACACAGATTGGGTATCTTTTATGGCCACAATTCAGTTCTTTGGACAAGCAGTGCCCTTCTCACACCACCTTCTTAAATTGCAAGTCTGCTACTAGTGACAAAGCTTCTTCCTACAAGCTCCTTCATTTTAGGAGAACACAATTCAATAAGAGCATACCCTCTCTTTGGGGATTTTTTATTACCTAAAGGTAAAAAAAGTTAGTTTAAAAAGTTAGCATCCATCTGCTAATAAAAAAGCCAGTTAATGCAGTTTTTTGGTATTCAGAGGTGTATTTCAAATGCAACAAGCAGCATGTCTTTGTGCAGGAAATGTGGGAAAGCTGAAGACCTTTTATCTTATATCTGGTTAACATACCTAAAACTACTTTTGAATTGAGGAACCAAGACTTTATTACAATGTTCAGATATTCCCCCTCTTACAAGACAAAGGAAGAATGGTAGTGTATGAAAAACCATGGTCACAGAAATTTGGGACAGTTCTTAACTGTTTTGTCTTACTTGGCTATCAATTATGCAGAAACAAGATAGGCCAAATGTTGTGGTCACATTCATGTTCTGCAAACACTTGAACTAGGCTGCATCTGTTTATCAGTCCTAACCATTAATTACATAGACATGTTGGTTAAAACTATGGAATATGTATGTTACCACAAAAGTCTAATCTATGACGTGCTTGCATAATTAATGGATAAGGAGAGATAAAATAATTACGGCTGTTCAAGATCTGCCTACAGAGATACTCTTTGAGAGAAACTCTGATAACAAATAAACCATTTCAGAGATTTAAAACAGGAGGAGACAAGTACGAGAATATTTCTACAGGTATTCTGCAGGCTTGTTTTCTACCATAGAAAATAGCAGTGGGTTGACCCCAGCCAACAGCCAAGCACCACACAGCTTGTCCACTTCCCCACCCAGTGTGCAGGGGAGCAAATAAGAGCAAAAATGAGATAACTCATGGGTCGAGACAAAGACAGTTTAATAAGTGAAAGAAGAGGGGAGTAAAGGGAAGAAGTAGTGAGGCAAAGGCAATCACTCAGCACCTCCCGCAAGCAGAGGGATTCCCAGCTAGACTGAGCAGTGGCTATGTGCCAGACCAGCTCCCCCCACTTGCTGAGCATGAGACCACCTGGCATGGAATATATCCCTTTAGTCATCTGGGGCAAGCTGTTCAGGCCACGCTAAGTCATCCTGCAGGATCTTCCTAATTAAACCAGTATTTTTACAATAAAACTCCAAATTCACAACTTATTTGTCAAGCTGTTACTGAACAAACGGGTTAACTTTTAAAAGCACAGATCAATTCACCATAACCACCTGTAAACTGAGATTCAAACACTTCTTCATTCATTCCTTGTGAGGAAAACTCATTTAGCTTTTTCAAACCCTTTCTAAAATCCTTTCTAAAATTTCCATGAAATTCAGTCTCAAAGAAAACACCATACTTACAGATCAAGAACTCATACAGAGATTTCTGACGCTCCTAGAGTGTGGATGCTCGAGTCTAGCACGCAAATCACTCAACGGCCAGGCTATTTCCTTTAGCCTAACTTCAACTCATCAAAATCTTACCTGATCACGAAAATGAAAGCATCGGATCCCACATATCTTCTACGTGAAACCTCCTGTTTTTTTCTCTTTATGGGGAAAAAGCAAAACCAGAACTCGTAAAACCCACCAAAAGGCACGCAGCTAATGCAGTCTGGCTGCACAAATTGTCTTCCAGCCATTCCAAGGGCAAGTGCAGTAACAAGCACCCTTTCTCTGACTACACTGCACTATACAACATAGGACTCTTAAGTGAGATGAGTAACCAGTTTCACAGACAAATAACTCTGAGTTTTCAGGCATTATGACTAAAGGAAAAAAAAGATACCAAAAATACAATACAACAAAGATGATGCCACACTTTTTTTTAATTTAAAGCCACTTACATGAAGCCTCAGTAATGGACTCACGGTGTCCCGAGAAAAACTGTCAAGACAGGAGTCTTTCTGGGTTCCTGCCTGTGGCTTGGGACTTGAAGACAAAATTTCTTGCAGTGACATGAATACTTCTTCTTCATCATCATCATCATCATCTAGGCTGCATTTCAAACTTTCATCTTCACTATCAAAGCTGCTTTCTGACTTTCCATTCAACTTGCCTGTACAGGTGCTTTCAATTTTTAACTCCCATGAGAGTTGTGAAGACTCATGGCTGCTGCTCATGCACCCTTCTTTAAAAGGCAGTGAATGGGGAACACTTTCACCAGTCTCTTCTGAGAGTAGGAGTTTCCCAGAACCTTCCACTGAACAAGAATCAGTAGCATTTTCTAAAGTCCTGTCTTTTGTTCTTGAAAAACTGTTGGTGGATTGAATACTGTAATATTTATTGTGTGCCTGTCTTTCTGGTCTTTTCCCATCTTGCTCCTTCTTAGCATCTAATACCTGAGGTAAGCCAGCACTCCGGAGATGAGATTTCACACCTTTTGTTTGTGTTGAGTGGTGGAGAAAAGGCAACACAGTACTTTTTTCCTGAGAAAAAGGAAGGGATTTTTCCAAGAAAATGTATGAGTTAGCCACCTGCAACTGATTCTCTTTGGTATCCACAACAGAAATGTGTTTATTTTTATCAGGGCTGTGTGTAGAATATGAAGATGACAAACCTGCAGAGGAGCAATTATTTTTCTCTTTTTCATCGCTCGAGTTGAGGTATTCCTCTGGAAGAGTGGAATCATGTCTAGGTAGAGCAGCAGCTTCCCTTAGTTGCAGTACCTCACCATGAGTAGACTTTAAAAGGATATTTTTCACAAAGCTAGACATCCTATTTTTGCATTTTGCAGACGACCTATTAAAAGCAGGGTCATTCAAACTTGACACTTCATAGTGATTTGAACTGTCCGTATCCACACTCATGGCAGTGTGTTTTCTTTTCCCAGAAAAGTCGGTTTGTTTGGATTGCCCAGAAGACATCTTAGATTTAAGGCAGCGTGAAGGAACAGACTGGCTCTTCCACATACCAGCAGCCATCTCAGATGATGTTCTCAGTGCATTCGGAGAAGATGCCTCGTGTTTTGAAACCTTCTTTGGCTTTGGTTGAGATGTGTCATCTGTGAAGCGTTTAAGAAAAAATTAAACCACTGTTGTCATGTTTAAAAAATAATTCAAAAATCAAAACTCTTACAGCTTGCCCTTTAAGACATTAACTTCTGTTCTTAAGTCAACTATGACTGAAATTTTTATCAGAAACTCCAGTACTTCTATTCTGCTTGAACGCAGTGGACCACAACTAGGATTTAGCTGACACTGCACTGTTACACTACTATTGTAACTCACTTGGAAATTTAATTAAACCTTTTTATTTTAAAGCAGCCAAGCAGCCACCACAGAACACTTTTTCTATACACTAGGATCAGTCAGGTTTTGGAAACAGACAATAGCCCAGTTACGGTATGGGACTGGAAGAAAGTTTCTGTAATTACATGTGTGGTTACAAATAACTAACAACTATTATGAAAAGTATTTTGGAAGTACTGCAATAATTTTAACAGTGCTCATAAAAAAAGCGTTCAGAATATGAAATCTGTTTTCAGGCTATGGTTCTATGGCACCAGAGCCCACCTTTCTCACCATGCTTTTCTGCTTCCTGCCTTAAGCTGGTACTAGCACCTGGACACTTCTTAGAATGGTTTGGGTTGGAAGAGACCTTAAAAATCATCCAGTTCCAACCCTCTGCCATGGGCTGGGACATCTCCCACCAGACCAGGCTGCTCAAAGCCCCATCCAACCCAGCCTTCAACACTTCCAGAGACGGGGCATCCACAAGTTCCCTGGGCAACCTGTGCCAGTGTCTCACCATCCTCACAGTAAAGAATTTCTTTCTAATGCCTAATTTAGATCTACCCCCTTCCACTTTAAAGCCATTACTCCTTGTCCTATCACTACATGCCCCTGTAAAACGTCCCTTTTCAGTTTTCTTGTAGGCCTCCTTCAGGTACTGGAAGGCTGCTCTAAGGTCCCCTTGGAGCCTTCTCTTCTCCAGGCTGAACAACCCCAACTCTCTCAGCCTGTTTTCGCACGGCAGCTACTGCAGCCCTCTGATCATCTTTGTGGCCCTCCTCTGGACTCATTCCAACAGCTCCATGTCCTTTTGCTGGGGTCTCCAGAACTGGATGCAGTACTCCAGGTGGGGCAGAGTAGAGGGGCAGAATCACCTCCCTCGCTCTCCTGGCCACACTTCTTTTGATGCAGCCCAGGATACGGTTGGTGTTCTGGGCTGCAAGTGCACATTGCCAACTCCTGGTGAGCTTCTCATCATCCAGCACCCCCAAGTCCTTTTCCTCAGGGCTGTTTTCAATCCTTTCTCTGCCCAGCCTGTATTTGTGCTCAAGACATCCCGGACTCAGGTGCAGGACCTTGCACGTGGCCTTGCTGAACTTTATATGATTTGCATGGATCCGCCTCTCCAGCTTGTCAAGGTCCCTCCTGAAGGCATCCCTTCCCTCCAGTGTGTCAACCACATTGCACAGCTTGGTGTCAACAAACTTGCTGAGGGTGCACTCAATCCCACTGCTCATGTTGCTGACAAAGATATTAAACAGAGTTGGTCCCAATACACTGGCCTCCACTTGGACATCCAGCTGTTGACCACAACCCTTTGAGTGTGACCATCCACCCAATTCCTTATCCACTGAGTGGTCAATCCATCAAATCCATGTCCCTCCAATTTAGAGATCAAGATGCCGTGTGGGACAGTGTTGAATACTCTGCACAAGTCCAGGTAGACGACGTCAGTTGCTCTTCCCTTATCCACCAATGCTGTAACCCCACTGTAAAAGGCCACCATAGTTGTCAAGCACGAAGTGCCCTTGGTGAAGCCATGTTAGTCACCAGCAATCACCTTCTCATTTTCTATGTGCCTTAGTAGAGCCTTCAGGAGGGTCTGCTGCATGATCTTGCCAGGCAGAGGTGAGACTGACTGGCTGCAGTCCCCCAGGCCTTCCTTTTTTCCCCTTTCTGAAAATGGAGGTTGTTTCCCCTTTTCCAGTCAGTGGGAACTTCACCAGACTGCCATGACTTTTCAAATATGATAGAAGGTGGTTTTGCAGCTTTGTCCACCAGTTCCCTCAGGACCTGCAGGTGAATCTCATCAGGCCCCATGGACCTGTGCACCTTCAGGTTTAGATGGTCTTGAACCTCCTCTTCTTCTACAGTGGGTGGATCTCCCTTCTCCCAGCCTTTGCCTTCTGTGACCTGGGCAGTGTGGCTGGAACTTCTGACAGTGAAGACTGAGGCAAAAAAGTCACTGAGTATCTCAGCCTTCTCCATATCCTGTATGACCAGGTCTCCTGCTTCCTTCTGGAGAGGGCCCACATCTTCTCTGGTCTTCCTTTTGTCACTGACATACCTGTAGCTTTTCTTGTTACCCTTCATGTCACTGGAAACACTTACTTCTATCTGGGCTTTAGTTTTCCTAATCTGGCTCCTGGTTACTCAAACAACTTTTTTTGTATCCCCCCCAGGCAACTTGTCCTTGCTTCTATACTCTCTAGATTTTCTTTTCGCATCTAAGTGTGTCCAGGAGCTACTTGTTCATCCATGCAGGCCCTCCTGGCATTTTTGCTTGACATCCTCTTTGCTGGGATTCAGCACTCCTGAGCTTGGAGGTTGCAATCCTTGAATATTAACCAGCTTTCATGGGCTCCTTTTCCCTTCTGGGCTTTATCCCATGGTACCCTACCGAGCAGGTCCCTGAAGAGGCCAAAGTCAGCAGTCCTGAAGTCCAGGGAAACGAGTTTGCTGTGTGCCCTGCTTGCTGCCCTAACAATTTTAAACTCCACCATCTCATGGCCACTGCAGCCAAGACTGCCCTTGAGCTTCACATTTCCCATCAGCCCCTCCTTGCTGGTGAGAACAAGGTCCAGTATAGCACCTTTTCTTGTTGGTTCTGGTTGGCAAAGAGGATGTCACTGGAAACACTTACTTCTATCTGGGCTTTAGTTTTCCTAATCTGGCTCCTGGTTACTCAAACAACTTTTTTTGTATCCCCCCCCAGGCAACTTGTCCTTGCTTCTATACTCTCTAGATTTTCTTTTCGCATCTAAGTGCGTCCAGGAGCTACTTGTTCATCCATGCAGGCCCTCCTGGCATTTTTGCTTGACATCCTCTTTGCTGGGATTCAGCACTCCTGAGCTTGGAGGTTGCAATCCTTGAATATTAACCAGCTTTCATGGGCTCCTTTTCCCTTCTGGGCTTTATCCCATGGTACCCTACCGAGCAGGTCCCTGAAGAGGCCAAAGTCAGCAGTCCTGAAGTCCAGGGAAACGAGTTTGCTGTGTGCCCTGCTTGCTGCCCTAACAATTTTAAACTCCACCATCTCATGGCCACTGCAGCCAAGACTGCCCTTGAGCTTCACATTTCCCATCAGCCCCTCCTTGCTGGTGAGAACAAGGTCCAGTATAGCACCTTTTCTTGTTGGTTCTGGTTGGTGAAAGAAATTGTCGTCGATATAGTCCAGGAATCTCCTGGATTGCTGGTGCCCTGCTGTATGTCCCTCCAACAGATAACAGGGTAGTTGAAATTCCCCCGTCAGGCCTGTGAATGTGAAGCTGCTCCTCTCTGTCTAGTGGGCCTCATCTGCTTGGTATTCCTGGTCAGATGGCCTGTAGCAGACCCCTACTACGCCATCACCTGCCCCAGTGTTCACTTTAACCATGATCTGTAAGCTCTTGGTCAACTCCTCACTCATCCCCAGACGGAGCTTCATGGACTGCAGCTGGTCACTGACTTGGAGGACAACATCCTCTCCTCTTCTCCCCTGCCTGTCCTTCCTGAAGAGCTTGTATCCATCCATTTCCATGCTCCCCCACCACGTCTCAGTGATGCTGATAACATCATAGCCCTGCAGACATGAACATATCTCTAATTCCTCATTTGTTCCCCATGCTACATGCATGTGCACAGAAGCATTTAAGCTGGGCTCCCACTGAAGCCAACTTACTGGCTGGGAGTCCATTCTCCTGCATTTCATGTGCTCTCCTGCTGGCCTGTGACCCTTTTCCAGGCCCAGGGCATCTATTACTGGCACTGATCCCAAAGTGGTAGCAGTGGGATGGACTGAGGATCCCCTCCCCTGGCAACTCTAGTTTAAAGCCCTCTAAATTAGCAAGCCTATGGCCAAAGATGCTCTCCCCCTTCTCTGAGAGATGTGCCCCACCACCCCCCAGGAGACCAGGTTTCTCAAAGGGAGTCCCATGGTCTGAGTAGCCGAAGCTCTGGCTGTGGCACCACTCCTGCAACCATTTCAAGCCAAGCTGCTTCATGGAGCTGATGTGGCTGAGAACTTCCCAACCTAATTTTCAGCCAGATCAGCTCCTCACACTGCTGGCCAAGTCCCAGTGCTAGCAGAGACGGAAAGGGAAGCATGGCACAAGAGTCTGATAGGTTTACACAGCCAAGGACCCTCAACATGGGAATATTCTCCTTGTTTGGGTTCCCCGCCCCTCTTTTTTTTTTTTTTAATCATCCTACTGAGCTATAGCTCAAGCTCCTATTCACATGAACTTTTTATATTCACTTCTACCAATGACACAACAAAATTATGTGGTTAAAAGGGACAAAAAGCAACAAGACTACCAGCTAAACTTTAGTGTTCAGTACAACAAGAATGTTCTTTTTGGATTAAGTTGAAATTGTTAAATTGAATTGGATTAAGTTGAGTTGGATTAAGCTGAATTTGTTAACCACGACAAGGAAGGTGGATTTTCCACAATGCAAGAGAAATTATAAAAATAATTGGTGATTAAAGGCTTAAGACAAAGAAACATGACTTTTAAGTTAATTAAAAGCAATCTCTTTTTCACTAAAATCCCAAATTACTTTTCAACCTCTTCAAGCTTGCCATATATCAGTACATCAGAAATACCTTGATCATACAGCAGTAATGTTTTTGAGAAAACAGAAAAACATAACTTCCAGGGAAAAAAGCTATTAAAAAGAGATACTAAGCAATGAACTCGACTGTTTAATTAATTCCATATTATCAGCACTGCTTCTACCTGAGACAGACTCCCTTGAAGCAGAATGTGGTATTTTTCTTAAAGGACATCCATTTCCCTAAAAGTAAAGCGGGAGAAAATAAAAAAGTTAATTGCATACTTTTTAAAACCAGGATGTTGATGTCTTGAGCCAAGTGCTGAATCTAGCACAGACTTAGTTGCACACATCCCCAGAAATATGGTAACATACTTCAAGACAAACTTAAACCACAGCTGCAAAGATCTCAACAAGAGGACTCTCCACAACCCAATTTTTGAATCTATTCTTCTGATCAGCCTCTGGTTCTAAATCTCTCCATATTTGGGGCCATTAGCCACTTGTGTCCCTGGGCTATATGGCAACATAGCACAGCTGGCTTTCTTCAGGTAAGTCATTAGGAACTTAAAGAACAAAATGACAGAAAGCACAGACAGGCAAAAACAGAGGGAGGGGCACAAAGGAGAAAAGGAAATACAAGCTAAACAATCTTTTCTGTTCCATTCATAACACATTATGGAGGCACACATAATGATCTTCCTTCCAAGTAACCAGCAGCCTTCGAAAGGGTTGGGGAAAAAAGTCAATACAATTCAACCCATAATGAAATACTACATACTTAATAGGATCACTCCCCACCTCTATCTAAACACTCTGGTTTAAGTGCATAAATCTGAACTGCTCTTAACTGCAACTTCTAACTAGCAGAAATTTGCCAGGCTGTTCCCCATAGTAAACTGTAAGAAAACACAAGGTTAAGACATTTAAGATTACATTTTTGCTGCAAAATACAATTTAAAGTTACAATTTCCATTGCGTTTTCATGCCTGCACGTAACCCAGAATACCTCCCCTGCTTTTAAACCAGGATTTCTCATTTATTGTAGAATACTTAACAATCAGCTTACTCGAGCATGACCTCAAATTTACAAAGGAATAGCAAAAGAGCATAAACTTTGGTTACATTTGAAAAAGGCAGCACCAAGAATCTCATCCTACATAGAAAAAGAAAAAATACATCATCACATGCACAATGGGTCACTGATTTCACCACTTCTGAACACACCTGATGTGATACACTTGTTCCTGAGAATGGCTTTACAGGATGTGGCTCAGATTGTTTCATTTTGTGTTTCTTCCGCTTCCTTTCTCTGCAGAGAGTTTCCAGTGACAACCGAAATTCAGCGCCCGCTGGAGTGCAAGGCAATTTCGTAGGAAGCCCTGGGTTTTGGCAGAGAGATGTGTTGTTCACAGTGCCATTATTTCTAGCACAGGCTTTTCGAGTATCAGCTTCTGGTAATGAAATCCACTTGTCAGAGCCTGAACTAGTGTCATCTAGATCCATACTGACAGTCTTCTGTTCCCAACTATTTCCACGAGGCAATGGTGCTCTTGTTACACCCAGACACTTCTCATTTCTTCCCTGCTCTGACTGGACAGTGTTATCCTTTTCGGCCAAGAAACAGCTGCGAGACCCTGCGGTAGTAAAGAGTTTTTGAATCACAACTTTTGGGTTCAACAAACCCCGTGCCTCACATGCTCTGCCTTTCTCTAAAATGTTTACTCTGCCTTCTTTCTTAATTCCTCTCCAAAAGGCATCTACCACAGGACTTGTGTTCAGCGTTTGGTCTGGCATCTTTTTTCTTCTGACCTTCTTTGGAGAAGATATTTTCTTTTCAAAACACTCAGCATGTAAAACTGACAGTCCAATTCCTGCATCTTTCACATTTCCTCTGCACAAGGCAGTTCTGTCTTCATGGTCAAGGTCTAAGAGAAAAGAAAAGACAAATTATTCACAATCACAATACTGGGGAAAAAAATCCTATTGGGCTGTATTAGTTGGTATTTTATCAGTCTCTCACACGCAATCCAAAACAAATTTACTTAATTTACTTTTCCTAGTGCCATGCACTTTTTTGCATCAAAGAATTGCATGATCTATGTCACAGCTTCAGTTGTTATAAACAATCTGGCTTAAGCATGGAATAATAACTTTAAATAATAATAATAAATGCATAAGTAAAGAAATTAATTTTAATACAAAATTAACATTTTCGGTTACATTAAGACAGAATTTTAAATGTATGCAATTTTGACATACTTGGTAAGCTATACTCATTATATTGCTGCTCCAATTTGGAATGAGATTGGACTATACTTCTGCACACTTATATAATAAAAATTCATAAAAATATCTTCCATTTAAAAAACACATATTTACCTTGCTTTAAAACTGGTTTGAAGAACTCTGTAATGGTCTGGCTTCTGAAGAGAAAACATAACTTTATCTTTTTAAAAGAACAATACCTAAATGCCCATACAGTGAATATTGATAAAATTAAAATGCCACAATTTATTTCTAAATATTTTTATGCCAGCAGCTCTTATTTCTGACAACTCTTTCTGATAGACCAGAGAAAGCATCATTTTCCTCATTGCCTTCTAGCCTTCACTTCTAATGAAGCCAACCTGTCAGCTTTCTCACTCAAACTGTTTCCTTTATCATCCCAGTAAGTCTTAACCACCCTTCCAGCTTTCTTAAATGGGACTGACCTCACCCATATCCAGAATTCCAGATGAGACCTCACCAGTACCTTATGTGATGGTGTTAACAACCTCCCCATCTCCACTGTCAACACTTTCAACGGGTAACTCCTACTACATTTTTTTAAGGTGTTACAGTGACCAAGCCCTCTTCAATGTGTTATTAGTTGCAACGCACTATTAACCACGCAGTTTGAGCTGCAAGTTGTAAAGTTCAACTAATCCTGTAACTTTCCTCTTGTTGCCCAAAACTCTCTGCACCACCGTTCGCTGGGTTTTTTCACGCATCTGGTGCCAGGCTGGGATGCAAATTCCTACCTGCGCTACCTCC